TTTTTCCTAAATCACAAACTATGAGTACAACATTCAAGGAGGTGTACCTCCTCTCCACCAACAAAACAACACAAAAACAATCAAACCTACAGCCAACAAAGACAATACTCAAAAGGTAGAGGAAAAAAATTCACCACCAACAAAAATAAACTCTCACAATAAACTTAATGTCAAAAAGCCTCTAAACCTCAAACAAAACCAACTTAAAACTCTGTGTCAGCACAACAATAGCCCTTTCATTGAAGTAAACAATCTTTCTCTCAACCTAACAACAAAATTATAATAGGCCAACTAATAATGAAACCACACAGGAGTCCAACAGATGGTCCAGAGCAAGACTGCCAAACTAATCTTATACAATCTGCAGTACTTACCATGTTCTAATAAGTATCAAGGAACCAAAACAAATACCAACCTAGACACAGGTGTAGAACTGAGCAAAACTGTGATGTTTCCATTTTTCACCATTTTTCCATTTCGGGAATTCTCTGTTTTTGCAAGGGCATTTTTGTCCTTTCTCATTTTACGTTCCGGACACCATGGGATGTGCCGGGTGTGTCTGTGAGTTGGTTGTGATATTCCATTGAGTTTAGGACTCCTTGAAATGTAAGGTTTGTCATTTTTGGTATTTTTCAGTTTTTCGGACCGGACGGTCCCATGTGAAACCCGCTACTGGCATTGTTGTGTACGGGAGTTTTGGTGGGGTTCATTTGTATTTTATTCACTATATTTTAATGTGTTTCATATAGTTTTATTATGGTGTGTATGTGTATTATATTTGTGTGGTAGAAAAGAAAAAGGAAAAGTCAAAATGGAAGTGGTCGGACCCACCACTAATGTTTTTCATGGCCAAGAGACCACATTTGGTCTCCAATTCTCTCTCTCCTATAAGATCACTTTCTTTCTTTACTCTTGTTCATTTTTCTTTTCTTTCCAAACAAATTTCAAGTGTCAATTACTCCTTCATCTCTTGGAATTTTTGGGTTCCGTTTGCGTCAAATTAAAGAGCACGAAGAGATCTATGATTTGATTCGGAGCAATTCCTTGTTTGGTGCACTCTAGGAATTTCGAAATCTAGGGCATAAAATTGGGGGGTTTTGCAATTCTTTAGGTAGGGGTTTTTAATTCCCGATTTCTTGTTCCTTTGTTAGTTTTTCTCCAATATTTGTTGACAAGCATGTTTAATTTGAATAATTTGCCTTTAAAATGATGTAATTGTAGTATATGAAATCTATGCTTATGTGTATTAAATGAGTTGTATGAAAAGCATGCTAAGTGTTACTTTTTATGCTTATTGTGCTGTAAACTTGGTAGAATTGCTACGTGGAAGCACGTTGAATTGTAAATTATAAAAAATTCCTATTGTCATAACATTAGAATGTATGTGACATGTATTCATAGCATTGGGCATGAAAAAGGGCAAAATGATGTGATTTGAAATGAAAAAGGGGCTTTGGGAAAATATTTTGACAAAGTGATTTTTGTGAAAACCCGGACGCCAAGGGGGTACCGAGGGTCTGTGACATTAACGTAGTCTAAAAGGAATTAGGGAAATCACCCTAGAGTGGTTGAGCTATCTGGGCCCTAAATGATGCCGTGTGGTTACCAAGGGTCAAGGACAGTAGCCAATCCTTCTCTCGTGTCGCCAAGGGGTCACCGAGGGATGGGTTATGTTAACGGTTTGAAAAGTGATGGATGGATGGTTTTGAAAATGGGGAGTGATATAGCATGGCATTGCACTTCATGGCACGGTATTATTTGTTTAGAACTTGAAATTGATGTTATATTCTTTCCCGGTATAGCATGACCCCTATCCTCTACTTCTATTCATTGCTTGGATTCACGGGGTTACAAGAGGTGTGTCTTATGCACCACCTGAGCAATTTGTTCACCCTTTATATTTAATATTTTTCAGGTTATGGGAAGGAGGTGACAGATGACAATGCATCACAAATTTGAAGGGGACTAAAAGTTCAATTCTTTTGCTATCTTTTGTACATTGAGCCTGTCTTTTGCAAAAGCACCATTTGGAATGTATCAAGTTGAAAAACATGGCTTTGTAATATAATTTTAAACTTATGATGGTATTTTTTATGTAAATTTGGGATAAATGTGAAGACCATGCATTAGTTCTTAATTGTAAGGAAGAATGATGTTGTATTGTAGCTTATTGTTGATGTTTTTATCCATGGAAATGCATAATGTCAGATTTCAGGGTGTTGGGACAGGTTATGGGTCAATTTTTAAAGCCCCTAAAAAGAACATAGTTGACTCTCAGGTTCATAGCAGTCCAGCAGCTGAACCACAGCTTGAAAAGTCATTTCGGTCGACCGAAATGGGCACTTCGGCCGACCGGTTCTTCCAGTAGCCTCAGCTACTATTAAGGAGCACAACCAGTCGACCGGTTGGTCACTTCTGCCCACCGGTTTGGGAGGATTAGCTTTGGCCGACCGAAGCTCCACTTCGGTTGACCGAACTATGTTATCTTCTTCATTTTGTTCTTTTCCCGTGCATAATTCACCTAGAGTTCTGGAATGTTGCTTAAGGCCTTCGTGAAGCATAATTACGACTTAAGAATGACGTTTTTGACACTAGAAATGACGATAATGACTTAGGTAACCTTGGGTTCAGGCAATGACCCGGTTAATAGTTCGGACCCACGGATTCAGGCCGTTACAATAACCACCGCATTACTTTAACTTCTTACTTAAAACTAATTCAGGTAAATTCCATTCCCTATTAACCCCTTAAGAGAATAAAATTTGAGTCTAACAACCTCTATAATTTCTCTTTGGAGAATAGAAATAACCCTGAAGTCAATTTTAAATAATTTATTGTTCCTCTCCTTCCACAAAGTATATACTGCAGCAGCCAAAACTACCATGTTTAAATTAACAATCAAAGTATTTCTTGTAAGAGTAATCAGTTAATGAGACAGACCCAATCTCCAACGGGCCAAGATAAGAGACATTTGGAAGCAACTTGATTCATTCATAAACAAATAAATAAGCATGATTTTGAATAAAAATAAACCAAATCGAACCTCAGAAAACTAGCATTTGTGGTCGTTTTTCAGATAAAATGCAAAAAAAAAAAAAAAATTAAGGTTTCAAATCAATGAACTTAAATGTTTAAGAAAACCCTAAAATCATACAAGTTGAAGAAAGAACTGAGAAACATGAAATATGTTTAACATAGTGTAATAAACAAGTAAAATTTGCTCAAACCTACCTTGTTTTTCAACGAAGACAACAAAATGGTAAAGATCGGTGGTCAGATTGAGCGAAAACACCACTGAAAGGAAGGATCGGTCGTCGTTTTTAGCCAAACAAGCACATACTATAGAGTTGCCACAAAATCGCCTCTACTCGAGCTCTCTAGAAAACCCTACAAAATGACTTAAATGTTTTAAGTATGGTTTATAACCATGTTGCAAGTCTGGTTTAAGTTGGGTCATTTTACTTCCTCCGCTACAGTAAGTTTTAGACCAAATAGTACCGAAATAACGAAAAACACCAAAATGGTGTTTCATATTTTAGGCCCTTTTTTGAAATTGTTTTGCAACTGTTTAAAATACAAGAATCTCAGCCAAACATGTTTTAGGCTTGAAATGGGCTACTGTAGCAGGTCTGCAACAAAACAAAACATGTGCCAAATAGCCTCTTAAGTGTCCAGTTTTGAGACACGGTGTGTCCTTATTGAGACAAGGTAGGACCATAGCATGAATATTGTGTTGAATACATGCACTTATATCATTGATGAAATAACGACGCCATTGATCCCATATTAGTAGACTCAAAAGTACTCCAAATTGAATGGTAGAGGTGTTTCTTATAAATATATGAGTTAACTTGTGTGGTACACGCAATGATCATTTTGATCTTGAAGTGATCGGAATTAATTATTGTTAAATTAAGTGGGAGAATGTAAGAAAAATTAATAGTTTAACATTAAGTAATTAATTACATATATGTCAATGACTATCCATATATTTAAGAGGGGTTGCACCATATTTAATTGATGTGCACAGGGGCGGACCTAGAACTTTAGGTAAGGGGGTAGGGTTGAAATTTTGTAATAATTTCAGGGGGGGCATTAGCAATATTTTAGGGGCGGACCTAGAACTTTAGGTAAAGGGGCAGGGTTGAAATTTTGTAATAATTTCAGGGGGGGCATTAGCAATATTTTAGGAAGGGGAGGGGGGGGGAGGAGGTAATAGGTCTGGATGTGCATAACGTCATATTAATTCCTAATGAATAGTCACATATGAAGAGTTGTATAGGTTGATGTAACCAACCCTCGTCTTCATATATAATGGAATGGTCCCAACCCTAGTCTATATATATGTGTTAAAATTTATCTAGTACGTAGATAGAAGATTAGATGGTTGAAGGTTGTCTCAAATATGATATAAATAATGTTTCCGCAGTAATCTCTTCAAACAAAGTTTCTATATCAGGTACGTCTTCTTCTTATCAAATTTATGCATTAGAACCATGTTTCTATTTTCTATGAATTTTTCTTACACTACTATCTCAGATTATTTACCAACCTATTTTTTTTTTTACAAACTACTGTTGCTTTTTTTGGCAAACACAGAGCATCTATATATCACTTAATCAAAGCATTGAAACTTTAATGCCAACAAAGATACTAGATTAAGATGAAACCTAAAAAAGAGACTCCAACTTTCTAAATAGTTAATAACTTTATATTTTAGTATGGCCTGTATGAGTTCCATTATATTTGACATATAAATAGAAATAGTAAATTTTTGTTTAGTAGACTAAATAGCGGGACTCTTGTATATTTGTTTCTTGGTTGAGTTGGTAACTTTTGTTTAAGGATTCCATATCCTTATAAGTACTACGTTGTGTCACTTTATACACGAACTAGTATACGGCAATCTATTACCCAACCTTACTTGTCGAAAATTGTCTTGGAAGGGCGCAAGTTTTTAAATATCCTAGGATTTTAACTGCGAAAGCATAGAGGACATAATGGCATTCTCAAGATCTATTCTTTTGGCTCTCCCTGAAGAAATCCTGATTGAAATCCTTGTTAGATTGCCAGTAACATCACTAGTGCAAGCGAGGTCAATCTGCAAATCATGGTACTCTCTAATCACTGATCGTAGCTTCATTGAGTCACATCTCAAACATCAAACAAGCCCGAGCAACAACAACTACAGTCCTCTCTTCCTCTTTAGGTACCAACTTAGTTACAGTGATCGGTACTGGCGTTACACACTACGTTATGATGATGAATCGTTTGGCGAGTATTTTGAACCGGAGCTTCCAGTACATATCAGATGCTTACGTGCATGTGGGTATTGTAATGGTTTAGTATGTTTGTATGGGGAACTAATAACGGCGGCATCAAGATTGGGACCGCCCATATATTTATGGAACCCAACGCTTAGAAGAATGAAAACCCTCCCAGAAGTACCTCAAAGTCTTGATCCCAGTTTGGGTGCTGATTGCAGTATGTATTTGGCCTTTGGCTTCGACTACCGTGGTAATGATCACAAGGTAGTGGAGATTATTTGCTTCCCGCCAAACACAGATAAGAATAGTTTGTTCGTAGTTAATGTTTATAGTCTAAGCACAGATTCTTGGAGAAGAATTAGTGTTGCCTCCCCTTCATGTAGGATTTCAAGTACCCTACCTCAAATCATGAATGGAGCTGCCTATTGGATTGCAAAGGGGGATGGGAATGGGGAAAGTGATAACTCTACTTATACCATTTTGCAATTCGATTTGGGTGATGAAGTTTTTAGAGAGATAATGCTGCCAGATGGTACTCAGCATGGAATACCAGATATTGCGGTATCGGGGGAATCACTCTATCTTTTTATTATTTGGGAGGGTGAAACTTATCGAACATATCAGTGTGGTGTGTGGACAATGGAGTGTAGCAAAGTGGGAACATGGACAAAACGATTTACATTTAGTTTTTCGGAGAATGATTGGGGCAGTGAGACAGGCTTTAGAAGGAATGGCGAAATTCTGCAACTGCATCACAGAAATTCTCTGGTGTATTACAATCTTGAGAGCAAGCGAGCTCTGCGAGTACATCACAAAACTTCTCTGGCGTCTTACAATCTTGAGAACAATCAAGCTAAGGATCTTGGAATATTCCATGCCTCTATAATTAGTTTTTTACATTGTTATGTGGAGAGCCTTATTCTACTTGGTAAGGAAGATTCTTATTCCACATCATCAACAGAAATTGAAGTACATTGTGAAGAAGAGGTGTGAGATAAGTTATTTAATCATCTTGTCGTATTATTACACTTGTGTTCATTGCTGCTGCTGTTTTATTATTATTATTTTTGGAGTTCAAATATATTGATTTAATTTGAAAATTAAATTTGCATCAGATTCCTTTTTGAACGATAATCTATTGTCATTGCTACTGTTGAACAATATGAACCTCGTGTTTTTTTTTTTTTTTTTTTGCCTTCTTTACATATGAACTCTTCAAACTGCTATTGGGTGAAGGGATCAACATCAAATGTGTTTAAATTATCATAAACACAAAAAGAAATTGGATGGTGCACTCAATTAATTCATACAAAAATAAAGTCCGAGACAAGAAACTGAAATTGGATGGTGCACTCAATTAGTTCATACAAAAATAAAGTCCGAGACAAGAAACTTTCTGAATTGTTATTTCTTCATTTGAACTTGAGTGTTTGTGCAGTAGTTATTTACTTGCATCTTCATTGTCTGTCTGAACATGCAAGTAAATATTTGAATTAAATATCTTCTAAAGCGACAAATTTTATACAAAAACATAAAAGTGGCTCACACCTCACATAAACTCGTAAAAACAAAAATTGATCATAATTTTTTTTCTTAGTTGATACTTATGCACACATGCCTCCACCAAGGTTGAACCCCTAACTTCCCTTTAGGAAGTAGAGGTCTGGTACCGTTAGGCCACTCTTGTTAGATCATAATTCAACAACTTAAGGCCATTAAAAAAAATTAATAATAAAAAAATAAAAAAAGGTCAATTCAATTTCAAGATAATCATTTTTCAAAGGAAGACATTCATTCAATGAGTTAGCAATACTTACCTTATCCTCAAGAATAATGATCTTCTTCTCAAGCTTAGTGATGACAGAATTACTTTCAAAAGCTTTCCTTTTGCCTTCATCAATCTATTTCTTTAGATCTTCATTCTCTCCTTTTGCTTGGATAAGCTCTCTTGCTAGCTTATTGATTGCCTGTTTGACTTTAATGGTTTCTTCAACCATCTTCTTCAATCTTTCATCGTCATTTTCTGCCTCTTGAAATTGTTCATCATGAACTTCAATGTCTTCGTTATCTGAAATATCAGAGTCAGATAAAGTAACAACATGAGGACCTCTATCAAGAAAAGCGACATAAGAAAAATCATTAGAATCATCATGAGGAGAATTATTATCACTTAAAGCAGAATTTTCAGTCATAGAAACTTTCTTTGCTTTTATTTTATTTCTATCCTTTTGTTTTTTCCTAGGACTTGGACAAACATTGGATGTATGACTTTTGCCACCACAATTCCAGCAAGTGAATTGAGTTTCTTTAGACTCTTCTACTTTCTTTTCATTAAACCTAAATTTTGACGTCTTATCAAAATTTTGAGGATTAGCCATATTGTTATTCCTTCTTCTCTGTTGTCTTTGCAAGATCTGATTAAATTGCCTTGACAGAAAAACAAAATCATCATCAGAGTTATCATCCATAGAATTCTTAACCTGTGTTGATTTTAAGCCAAGATTCTTTTCCTTCTGATTTAAATCAAAGTTCTGCATCTCAAAAGTTTGCAATGAACCTACCATCTCATCAACTTTACAGGTAGTTAAATCATAATATTCAGTGATGGTTTCAAACTCTAATTTGGAATCTTTTAGGTAAAGACCTTAAGATTTTTTCATAGATTTTCTTAACACTAACTTTTTTACTTAAGTGACCCAATTAAGAAATTATTTCAAGAAGACTAGAATAAAAATCAGAAAAAGATTCATCTTCTTTCATCATGATGTTCCCAAAATTAGGAGAAATCATCTGAATTTTGGACAACTTCACTTTTGAAGTTCCATCATGAGTAACTTGCAAAATATCCCAAACTTCTTTAGCAGTTTTACAATCAGAAATTCTAGCATATTCAGATGGAACAATAGAATTAATAATTGCATATAAAGCTTTACAATTAGCATCATTACGCTCAGTTTCAATAGCAATAAATGTAAAATGATCTTTTAAGACCTTGACTTCTTAACCATCTACAGTTTTATCTTTCTGTAGGTGGTGAATAGCCAGATTCAACTATAGCCTAAGTTTTACCACCAGAATTTTGCAAATAGCTCTCATCTTCGATTTCCAAAAATTTCAATTATCTCCTTCAAACAAAGGACCACGTTGATTAGAACCTCATTCTTTCAACGCATAAGACATGATTAAAAATCAATTTTTGACATCAAAACAAAACTTTCCAACAAGGATCAACTCAATGTGTAGAGATTGGCTCTGATACCAATTTGTGAGTTGTAAGCAGCGGAATATTTAGAAAGTTTTGATTATTTTAAAAACAGATCTAGTGTTTTTCTAACTTTCTTTATTTTAGCAATTAATAAATTAATATCATGCAATATAAAATAAAGCAAAGTAAAGTTAGAGATGACACCACGATTTTTAGTAAGAAACCCCAGTTGATAAAATACGTCAACTGTTTGCATGGGAAAAACCTAGTGGATTGTGTAGTCCAAAGTAAATCGATCCACTATGCTTGAAACAAAGTACACTGAACTTTGACTCTGGCTCACACCCTATCGTTCTACCAAACACCAACTGCTGATAATCCTTTGGCTTTGCGACTTCCCGTCCAACAGCAACTTGACCTTAAGCTTATGTTTGATATTTGTAGAAGAGTAGTAGGTAGATTAGACAACATTCCTCGAATGCTCCAACCCTTTCAAAGTGTGATCGTTTTTACTTTTATTCTTCAATCATCTGAATTCAATGTAGAAGTAGATCTACTTTTGTCTGATCAATGTAGATGCAACTGTATGATCACGATTAGGATTTGAACACCACAACTCTAAACTCACTATGTATTTATGTATATGTGTTTTAGAAAGATAACAGAGAAATCTCTTGGATTTTTTGCAAAAATAATCTTCCTAAGATTTTTAAAAATAATGAAGTTGTAGAACAAAAGCCATGAATAAACCTATGTGTATGACATGGTTTATATAGAGGTTTGCAAAGTCCTATTCCTTTTGAAAATAAATTTCATGCATAGGACTTGGAAGGAAAGTTGGATAAAAAAGAAATCAAATAGAATAAGGAAATTGAAAACCTTTTGCTGTCAAGACTCCTAGAACCGGTTCCCAAATCTTAGTACTGATTCCCAAGGACAAAATTGAGTTATCTCGAATCTCAGCTTCTAAAATTGGTTCCCAAATTCAGATACTGGTTCTTACTTGACAAAATCCAATTTGAACTTGGATTTTCTATTTTTGGAAACTCTGGAAATATACCTTATAGGTATTTGTGTCCTAAGTGGGAAATGATATCCTAATGTGCAACTTCTTTTCTTTTCGATGATCAACAATACTTTCCTCTTCTGAACAACCTTCGAATACCACAGTCGATGTCGAATATGATATGGTAACTGAAATTACAAACTAGACTAAAACTTATTTTGTCACCAAAATATACCAATTACAAAAATATATCTCACATGTTGTACACTCAATAATCATTTTGATCTTGAAGTGATCAGAATTAATTATTGTTAAACTAAGTGAGAAAATGTAAGAAAAATTAATAGTCTAATATTAATTAATTAATTACACATATATCAATGACTATCCATATATTTAAGATGGGTTGCACCATATTTAATTGATGTGCATTACATCATATTAATTCCTAAAGATGTTTTATGAATTGTTATATGTGAAGAGTTGTATTGGTTAATGGAACCAACACACCTCTTCATATATAATGGAATGGTCCAAACCCTCATCTATATATATATATATATATATATATATATATATATATATATATATATATATATGCGTGTTAAAAGTCATCATGTACGCAGATAAAAGATTAGAGGGTTGAAGGTTGTCTCATATGTGATATAAGTAATGTTTATGCTGTAATCTCTTTAAACATAATTTCTAAGGTAAACTACAGTCACACCCCCTGAGGTTTAACAAAAGGACACTTAGATGAAAATTACCTATTTTTTAGATAAATACACCCCTTTACATGAGAAATTGACCAAATTACCCTTTGACCATTTAAGAGACTTTTTTAACTTTACAATTTAATAAATTGGACCAATCTACCCTCATGAACAATTTATGCATTAAAAAAAAGTAACTAAAAAAAAAAAACTTTATATTGTTCACTTCTTCTTTTTTTGTTATGTACTTTATAAATGTCCCAAATTCTTAAAAATGTAGACGTCTAAAATGATTTTTTGATCCAATACATATATTTCAAATAAATTATATTTTGTTATTACTTCTTTTCTTTTTCTTTTTTATTTTTAAATTAAGATGCTTAATTCTTTCATCTAAAAAAATTAAACCAATCTCTTTTCCTTAAAAATCAAAAATATGGTACCAATATAACTTCATGCATCTTAAATTATATATCAAATATTATGCATTTCCCAACATAAAAGAAAATAGGTAGTGGTATAACTTTATGCATGCCTTTATTTTTTTATTTTTTATTTTCCCTTTGTTTTATTATTGGTAGCAGTATAACTTTATGCATGCCTTTATTTTTTATTTTTTATTTTCCCTTTGTTTTATTATTATTTTTTCCTTTGTTTTATTATTATTTTTTTCCCTTTTATGTTGGGAAATGCATAATATTTGATATATAATTTAAAATGCATAAAGTTATACTGGTACCATATTTTTTATTTTTAATGAAAAGAGATTGATTTAATTTTTTTAGGTGAAAGAATTAAGCCTCTTAATTTAAAAATAAAAAAGAAAAAAAAAAGAAGTAATAACAAAATATAATTTATTTGAAATATATGTATTGAATCAAAAAATCATTTTAGATGTCTATATTTTTAAAAAGTTGGGACATTTATAAGGTAAAAAAAAAAAAAAAAAAAAGAAAAAAAAAAAAAAAAAAAAGAAAAAGAAAAAGAAAAAGAAGTGAACAATATAAAGTTTTTTTTACTTTTTTTTATACATAAATTATTCATGAGGGTAGATTGGTTCAATTTATTAAATTGTAAAGTTAAAAAAGACTCATAAATGATCAAAGGGTAATTTGGTCGATTTTTCATGTAAATGGGTGTCTTTGTCCATTTTTTAACCTTCAGGTGGTGTCTTTGTCCCAAAAAAATAGGTAAGTTTCTTCTGAGTAACATTTTGTCAAACCTCAGGGGGGTGTGGTTGTACTTTACCTTAATTTCTATATAGGGTACGTCGTCAAATTTATGTATTGAAACTATGTTTCTATTTTCTATGAATTTTTCTTACACTACTATATCTGAATATTTGCAAACACAAGGCATCTATGTATCACTTAACCAATGCATACATGGTGATTGAAACTTTAATTGCGATGAAACCTGAAAAAGGGTATGAAACTTTCTAAATAGTAATTTTTAATTTGTTAGGCTAATTAATAGTTCTATATTTGTTTCTTGGTTGAGTTGGTAACTTTTGTTTAAGGATTCCATATCCTTATAAGTACTACGTTGTGTCACTTTATACACGAACTAGTATACGGCAATCTATTACCCAACCTTACTTGTCGAAAATTGTCTTGGAAGGGCGCAAGTTTTTAAATATCCTAGGATTTTAACTGCGAAAGCATAGAGATAATGACATCCTCAAGATCTAATCTTTTGGCTCTCCCTGAAGAAATCCTGATTGAAATCCTTGTTAGACTGCCGGTAAAATCACTAGTGCAAACGAGGTCAATCTGCAAATCATGGTACTCTCTAATCACTGATCGTAGCTTCATTGAGTCACATCTCAAACATCAAACAAGCCCGAGCAACAACAACTACAGTCCTCTCTTCCTCCTTAGGTACCAACTTAGTTACAGTGATCGATACGTTATGATGATGAATCGTTTGGCGAGTATTTTGAACCGGAGCTTCCAGTACATATCAGATGCTTACGTGCATGTGGGTATTGTAATGGGGAACTAATAACGGCGGCATCAAGATTGGGACCGCCCATATATTTATGGAACCCAACGCTTAGAAGAATGAAAACCCTCCCAGAAGTACCTCAAAGTCTTGATCCCAGTTTGGGTGCTGATTGCAGTATGTATTTGGCCTTTGGCTTCGACTACCGTGGTAATGATCACAAGGTAGTGGAGATTATTTGCTTCCCGCCAAACACAGATAAGAATAGTTTGTTCGTAGTTAATGTTTATAGTCTAAGCACAGATTCTTGGAGAAGAATTAGTGTTGCCTCCCCTTCATGTAGGATTTCAAGTACCCTACCTCAAATCATGAATGGAGCTGCCTATTGGATTGCAAAGGGGGATGGGAATGGGGAAAGTGATAACTCTACTTATACCATTTTGCAATTCGATTTGGGTGATGAAGTTTTTAGAGAGATAATGCTGCCAGATGGTACTCAGCATGGAATACCAGATATTGCGGTATCGGGGGAATTACTCTATCTTTTTATTATTTGGGAGGGTGAAACTTATCGAACATATCAGTGCGGTGTGTGGACAATGGAGTGTAGCAAAGTGGGAACATGGACAAAACGATTTACATTTAGTTTTTCGGAGAATGATTGGGGCAGTGAGACAGGCTTTAGAAGGAATGGCGAAATTCTGCAACTGCATCACAGAAATTCTCTGGTGTATTACAATCTTGAGAGCAAGCGAGCTCTGCGAGTACATCACAAAACTTCTCTGGCGTCTTACAATCTTGAGAACAATCAAGCTAAGGATCTTGGAATATTCCATGCCTCTATAATTAGTTTTTTACATTGTTACGTGGAGAGCCTTATTCTACTTGGTAAGGAAGATTCTTATTCCACATCATCAACAGAAATTGAAGTACATTGTGAAGAAGAGGTGTGAGATAAGTTATTTAATCATTGTGTTCATTGCTGCTGCTGTTTTATTATTATTATTTTTGGAGTTCAAATATATTGATTTAATTTGAAAATTAAATTTGCATCAGATTCCTTTTTGAACGATAATCTATTGTCATTGCTACTGTTGAACAATATGAACCTCGTGTTTTTTTTTTTTTTTTTTTTTTTTTGCCTTCTTTACATATGAACTCTTCAAACTGCTATTGGGTGAAGGGATCAACATCAAATGTGTTTAAATTATCATAAACACAAAAAGAAATTGGATGGTGCACTCAATTAATTCATACAAAAATAAAGGCCGAGACAAGAAACTTTCTGAATTGTTATTTCTTCATTTGAACTTGAGTGTTTGTGCAGTAGTTGTTTACTGGCATCTTCATTGTCTGTCTGAACATGCAAGTAAATATCTGAATTAAATTTATTGTAAAGAGACAAATTTTATACAAAACATAAAAGTGGCTCACACTTCACATAAACTCATAAAAACAAAAATTGATCATAAATTTTTTTTTCATAGTTGATACTTATACACACATGCCTCCACCAAAGTTGAACCCCTAACTTCCCTTTAGGAAGCAGAGGTCTGATACCGCTAGGCCACTCTTGTTAGATCACAATTCAACAACTAAAGACCATTAAAAAAAAAAAAAAAAAAAGAGGGGGGGAGGGGGGGGGTGGTCAATTCAATGATTAAATAGAACCGTACAATATATACATATCCTTTGGTGAAGAGTATATATTCCAGAACAGAAATAGCCAATACAAAGAAAAAAGTGTCCATTTATTCGATATAACACTTCTCTAGTGTTGCTCTACTCTGTTTTTCATGGACATTTTCTTGTCTAATTCTCTTTCTCAAGCAAAACCCATATACAATACACAGCTAAAACGAACAAAATTGAAGATACCCAGAAACAGAATTAGCCAAAGTTATCAGGATTATCTTGCGAAGTAGTGGTTCAGAAGCAAGAGAGACAGAAGAGGTTGAGATATAGAGAGAGAGAGAGGACCTCGGGAGGGAGACGCTTGGATGTAGAAGTCATTAATAAGCCAGAAATTGTACAACATTATTGTATCTCAGCCTACCCTGCAGCAATCAAGATGTGTGACAAGACAAAAACAAGAATTTTCATCTACGTATTGTGTACAAGTATCTGTTACTATCACTATCCCTAATACTATCAGCACTCAATTCGAACAGCCCCACTCTCTGATGAAATAAACTTGGGCTTCCTGTTGACTTGCTCCAAGCACTGGATAACGTCTCCAATCTTGAAATCCATAAAGTCTTGGATCACGAGTCCACACTCATTCCCCTTCCCAACTGTCTCCACATCTTGCTTCTCCCTCTTAAGGGATAAGCACGATCCTTCAAATACCACTTCCCCACTCCGTAAAAGCCTCATGGTAGCTGACTTTCTGAAACAGCCATCTATTACCCAACAGCCAGCAATCTTCAAATCGTCTCCCTTGGCCTTGCTCCATCCTTTGAGCTCAACAATGTTCAGCACCTGGGCCTCACCAGCTACCTGGGTCTCAAAAGTCCCAGGGGCCTTCTCTACTACCAGATTTCCAATGTCCTCCAAAAGGTGATATATCACACGATGTAATTTTATCTACGGCCACACAAGCAAATACAATAATTATTATTTTTCAGTCAATATCCACCTGTGTTTTTACAGTATAACTTCTATAGCCCATGGCAAAAAAGGAATTAAACGGATTCTCAACATCTTTAAAGAGTTAAAATTTTAAACAATCAAGGGTCAGTACCTTTATACCGGCTTGAGTTGCTGCCTCACCGAGAGTAATAGGAGGACTCCCGACATTGAATCCAACTATGCATGCATCACAGGCTTGTGCCAAGTCCACATCAGACTGAGAAATTGGCCCAACACCAACATGGACAAGATTTACGAAAACCTGGTAATAAGATTGTAACTTTAATCTGTGAATTGAAGTGGCAACATATTATAAAAAGGTGCTTTCTCAAGGAATCAAAAAGAAATCCCCCAGTAAGGCAAGGAATCAGTCTTTAAAATACTAACTGATACTACTCATACTAACTGATACTGCTTTTGACATTGTGTAAAAAGAAAAAATCACCACCATGGTAACAAGATGTGTTTTCAACAACCGAATAAAAAAAATAAAAAATAAAAATATTAATGTTTTTGGCTATTAAAATAATTTCTCATACCTGCAGACTATTCAAACTCCTCAAGGAATCCGTCACAGCTTGGACTGTGCCCTGCACATCTGCTTTTACAATGATGGGCATTTCAACCCTCTTGGGCTTTTCAACCTTCTTAAGCATCTCTTCTGATGGATCTGGAGTCTCTGTCTTCTCTTCTTCTGTCTTCTCTTCTTCAGTCTTCTCTTCTTCACCCATCTCTCTAAGTCTATCTTCTTCGAGCTTTTTAAGCCTATCTTTCTCGAGCCTTTTTTTCCTACCTTCACTTGAGCATTCTTGCTCTCTCCTCAGAATCTACAACAAACAATATCATCACCAGCCATTGGAAGTCCTTTCAGACCTTCAATCTCAACAGGCATTGCGGGTCTAGCCTGCTCTGCCAACCTCCCTGCCATATCCCTAATAGCCCTAATCCTTCCCCATTCAGCACCAACAACGACATGTGTGATACCCCCTAATTTTGGAACACGGATTGATCAAGTCCGCGCACAAAATCAAGGGATATCAAAACAATTTAAGTATTTAACAAGCACAGAATACAAAGATGAATAATAAAGAATAAATAAACCGCTGAAGAAAACTAATAAATAAATATTACTTAATGATTCTCCAACAATTACAATTCGGAAATCCCATAACTCAAGGACCTCTTAAAACATTATCCAATAATCCAATACTATTTAAAAGTACACAAGATGAATAGACGAATGACAGTCTCCCAGCTGCGGATCCTCAACCTCGAGACTGGAACCTCTAATAACCTGAAAAATAAATCGTGGGTTAAACCCTACGAGCAAGTTCACTCTACCAGGCCTCTGAAAACCAATAAGCAGATCATCTCTGATCAAAACCAAACCTAATAAAGTTTTAACTTTAATAAAGCACGATATGCATGTCTATATATAATTATATATACTATACTAATCACATCCATTAATAGGTTTATTAAATTTTCATACCTATTAAATAATTATTAAAATAATATCCATACCTAGACCAATCTACCATTTCATTTTATAAAAACTCCTTTGACCTTAATCCCATCCTAGTCAGTTGTCTAATCATTTAAACAACAAATTATAATAAAAGAAATACTCTATTTAATCCCAACCCGATAATGATTTTAATTGTTTAAATCACATATCCAAAATCCAAATTTTGACAAATCATCCACGTCTTCCCCAATATTATTTTATTAATGTAAAATAATACACTAACCAGTAAGTACTAAACTATTCTCATTTAAGAATATCTAACCCTAATCCAATCCATACATACAACAACCATAGATGATATTTTAATCATCTAACACATAACAACGTAATTATGCTTTGGCAAATCAACCATGCCATTGTAAATATTTTTATTTATATATTGGCAATTCAACCATGCCTCCATAAGTATATTTATTTATACATTGGCAATTCAACCATGCCTCCGTGTATGTATATTTATACATTGGCAATTCAACTATGCCTCCACAGGTATATTTATTCATACATTTAATTAGCAATTCATGCATGCTTTCCATATATGTATTCTATTCATACAAATATTTAGGTAATATATTTAATCATTTAACAATTCAACCATGCCCACACTTTAACCATGAATTAACTTTAAAATTAACAATATGCTAAATCATACATAGCCATCACATGCATATTATACGCATATCATTAATTTAACAACCAGCCTATTAAGATATGCCAAATAAGAATGATAATATTAATCATCTTAAATGATTTATATATATATATACCTACACATATGTTATTTAATTTATATATGTGTTTAACACCTTCTTTAATAATCCTTGATTATTTAAAATCAATATACATACATACATACACACACACACACACACACACACATATATATATATATATATATATATATATATTCATCCTTCCATACAACTCATAGACAAATTAAACTATATATACCCATATATAAATAATTATATATATATATATATATATATATATATACACTTCCTTCCATAACAAATTATTAATTTATTATATTTACACAAATTAGTGCAACTAAATATGTCAGAAATAGTTTCCTTTAAATACTCCATACCGGTTTAAATAGTTTTCCGACACCGTCTCACTAAAACGTAAATATCTCTTATTAGGATAAGAATCTGATAATGAAATTGGTACCATTGGAAAGAGGACGAAAAATCCTTGAATTTGAGCTCAAGAATGACCCAATTTCGATTTAAGATGACTTAGTTATGACCGTTTTAATTTTATGTCACAAACAGACAAAATAATTAGCTAAGCTCAAACACTACTGTGAGCGCGCCCACACTTAATTAGCTCACTTGAGCTCACACAAACGTACCCACACCAGATTAGTTCACTTGAGCTCACATGTATGCACCCACACCAGATCAATCTTCTGTTGACCAAACTTAATCCATGGTCCAAATTCACATGCGCACTCTTTTATGTACACCGTAATGCACCGAATCATTCCACTTATATTTAAACTATTCCAATGGCCTAGATCAGTGATGTAACCTTTTACTATGCATTCTACCACACTAGATCATACCTCGAATCACCCATCTCCTGATTTATGCGCCGATTCACACAGAGTGCATAGAATTAATTTAAAATTTAATAAAAATAATTCTAAAATAAATTCCAGAATATAAAAAAAATTACAAAACAAATTCTAAAAATATTCTGAAAAGTACAGAAAAATTCCAGAAAATATAAAAACCAAAATTAATCCCCTTAGGTCACAGTTCCACCTATACATTGATTTTAATATAT